ACTCAGATTTAGACTTGGAACTCAGAATCAAAAACTTGCCAACATCCCTGGTATTGATGATATTTTGTCACCATATCTGTCCTGCTTGCTGCACAGAGGCTTCTGCAATCCATATTGTATAACTGGCTTTACATAGAGTATATTAACAGGACACTTTACCCATTGTACTTTAGTTTAACTTTTTAATTTAGCCTTGGTCTGCTAAGACTTTCAGTACTTATTTGCTTTGAGATACCAATGTTTGTAACAGTACAATACAATACAGTACAATAAACACTGGGGGAATTTCACTTACTGGAGACATTACAGGGAGACGAATTTTCTCACCGCACCAGTTAGAGAATATGTAGTTCATGGATTATTTACCTACGGAAAGAATAGATTAACTATTCGTTGTTTCAACATCCTGCTAAAGAGTTGAAAAGGCAGTGGGGAGAAGGGAAAAATATTTCTTTATAATGATATATTTTCCCTCTCCATATATAGTGTTGCCCAACTTGTGGTTAAAACAAATGGTTACTGTAATTTTCTGATGGTTTTGAGATGGACAGCAAGCAGTAGAGCCCTTTGTGTTGATTGAATATATGATAAGTTTTCCCTTCATTTTTCCCCCCAGTTATCACATGTAAAACTAAAGCACGTGTGTGCTGATTTTTCTGTTTCTGCAAAGTGTACCATGTGCAAATGTGAATGTCATTAATGTACAACATTAAGGAAACTGAAACTTTAGTTTTGAATGTACAGTACTTTATTTTAACTCCCATTATCAATTCAAGACAAGCTAATTTAATTCCTATGTGAAACAATCAGGATCCATTAGGACTGCCAGGTCAGCAGTGTTCAGTTCTTTGGAATTTCAGGGCCAAAACCTGATACTAGGAGCATGGGGCCTTGTGCTGTCATAAGGACAGTGCACAGCAAAGGACTGGAAAGGAGGCCAGAACTTATTCTGGGCCAACTGATTGGGGAAGTGGATCCAGAATCTGGGTAAGATCCATCTAATCAGCTAATATGACACTAAGAACCACTGAGTTTGGGGCACATTTTTGGCAGTTGAACAGTAGGCAAAATGTCCACAGCATCTGCAAGGACATTCAGCTCATCTTGAACTTGGTCTCTTTTTGTATGGAAATCTGAGGAAGTGTACCCAAAACAGTAACCCTAGAATCCATAGAAGGGTAATGCATTTTATTAACCAGTAGACTGCATTCCCATATACATGCTAAGTTGACCCTAGACATCATCACGAAAAGCCTTATTTTCTGCAACCATTGAAACACTGGCCTTCACAGTGGTGGCATCCACCCTTTACAACACACGCTCCTATGTAAACTGAGATACTGTATGGAGATTGAGATCAGGTTCAAAAACCTGTTGAAAAATTACTTTTTTACACAGACCTTCCCCAGATTATCACGATCATTCTGTTTTTGTACAGTGTTTTTATGCAGGTGTTGTTATCCATTTAAAGTACAGTAGTTTTCAAACTATTTTATATTACTTTAATATTGCATTTGATGTCTATTTTAATGTAAGGCAGCATGATAGTATTGTAAGCAAACAAACAAACAAATAAGTCCAATTTAAAAGTCAGCAGAATTCGTCATCAGGCAAGATGGTAAACAAAAATAAAGAGTTGAGGAATGAAAAGTGATAGCTGTTCAAGCTACAGAATTTGCATTTAGTTCAGATGGAGAGTAATTTTTTAATTTATTTATTTATTTATTCTATTTATATCCCGCCTATCTGGTCTTGCGACCACGAGTAAGAAGAATCCACAGACATTCAAGACTGTACAACTTACTGAGATGATACAAAAACAATAGTAGTTCTGTATTTTTAGGAGGGGAAATCAGTTTTTTCAAATATGCCTCAAAAATTATTGATTAGCCATTGTTTTCTTTCTTTGTTCTTCTTCCCAACAGGATTTTACAGTGGAAGAAGTTAATTTTATACCATCTGAAGATTTTATACCAGTTGAAACATATTCTCTAGCTGTAGGTAAGCTATTACCCAATTTGGTTCTGACTGAGTTTTTAAAGCTAGGGGAAAATTCTCTCCAATTTTGTCAATATTGGACAGTTTCTACTTCGCTTTCTATCATGTGTTTCTGCTTCTGTTTTCCATCAATACTTCAAATTATGCATTTTAACATTAAGACTTTTCCATATGTCAGCTAGCTGCATAGCTCAGTGATTTAGCTATCTTGCTGTGAAGCCAGAGGACAGGAATTCAATGCTCCACTGCGCCTGCTATGAGTAAAGTTAGCTGTGTGGCTTTGGGCAAATTGCACAGTTCCAGCGCAAGCCCAGAAGAAGAGAATGATAAATCACTTCTTCTACCTGGAAAATGCTGAAAAGGATTGTTGTAAGTGAGAATTGCCTTGATGGCACATGTTCATTATTTTCCATATGGCTGTTGCCAGATCCCAATACTGATTTTTTAAAAGGTGGATTAAAAGTGCCTATGAAAAGAAATGTTAATATATAGGATTGGTGATACCACTGCTGATATTTGCACCACAGTTACAGTGATATCCATACTCATCCTCCAGGTACATTTGAATGTCTAACCTCAAAAGTACATTTCCCTAACATTTAGGGAAAATACGTTAACATTTAGGGAAAATACGTTAAAGTGTTAGGTACCACAAATCTGACTATGTTTATTTTCCCAAAGTGTATGGTGTAGAGCAGTGGTCCCCAACCTTGGGCCTCCAGATGTTCTTGGACTTCAACTCCCAGAAATCCTGGCCAGCAGAGGTGGTGGTGAGGGCTTCTGGGAGTTGTATTCCAAGAACATCTGGAGGCCCAAGGTTGGGGACCACTGGTGTAGAGAATTTAACATTTCTTTATTCACTAGCACCCGTGGCTAAAAGCAGTATTAGACCCAAAAATCATATTCTGCTCACCATGACATATAATGACAGGTGCAAATTAGGTGCATGACAGCAAACAGTACATATAGGTGCTATTTTACATGCATGCATATGTTGAGTATGGAGTAGTAGGGCCTGAGAGTTATAAATAGGAATCAAGAGCTATATATAACCCACAACAAAGCCAAACTTTGGATTCTTTGCACACAGTTAAACTTTTCCTTGCCACCATGAAATCTGAAATCTGTGAAGAAACATGGTTTAAATTCTCAAGAAGCCAAATATATATATGCTAGATAATGGATTTCATGCTTTTGCCCATGCATATATAGCCACTTGATACAGTATACATGCAAGATTCTTCCCTCTGGCCACGAGTACAACGGAAGATCTATTAAGAGCTTTCACAATGATATTAAATAAATTTTTATCACCATTTCACAGACCATGACAAGGACCAGTGCAATTACATCTTCTTCAAAATTCTTCTGAGGTTGGCTTTAATTTAAGGCATTTCCCATAGCTGTTAAGAAATAATTATTTGCTTTGGCACTGTACAATTATGATAATATTTGGCACCGGTTGTCCTGTTTTCTGCTGTTACATGTAACACTTCCTCCTTCAGAGGCTGTTGTGGGGAGTCACATTGGTGCTGATTGCCAGTTGGGTCTCTGAAGCTCAGAAAATAAGATTTGGTATTTTCAGAGGGAATGCATACAGAAGATTAGATTTCATTAAAGAAGGATATTTTCTTCCAGTTCTGCCTATGACAGCTAACTCCGCCCATGTAGTCTCTCTTCTTTCCCTTCACAGCAGTAAGCTTTAGTACTGTACATCAAGTACTGTCTTTTAGTGCTATGTTTATCATGAATAACTATTTCCCTCTTATTTTTAGGACCCCCATTTAGGAATGTGGCTTTTTGACAAAACTCAATTGCAAAAGCATAGTGCTTAAATGAATATAACCTACAAGTTTTGGAAACATGGGCTGAAATTCTTTTTGTGCAACCATGCCTGCATAAGGCTCGTGATGTGATCAGGAGAGGCTATTTTTCAGAAACTAAACACCTCTTATTTCTGTTCCGTAGCTCCCATGTACTACCTTTCATTATTTGGGTCATAGGAGCTGTGAGATGGAAGGATGAATTCTTGAATTACTGAAAATGGCTGACACTGGAAATGTGTTTCTATCACACTTTTTGTTGTACATGTATTTCACACTTCCATTGCATATACTGTTGCTCTGAAGTTTTTCAAAAATAACAAGAAAAATAGCACCAACATGATTTATCAGTCTATCAGTACAGTATAGCCCCAAACTTGCCAAAGCTGTCAACTGATAACTTGCTAGAATAATTGTAGACACTTAAACAAATTAGGGAAATTCACTGTTATTTTAATGGCAGTGCAAACTAGCAGAAGGGGATAGGCAAAAGTGTTCACTTCCATACGATGCCTCACTGTTAACATCCTGATCTGTGTTTTAAGACATGCTCAGCAGTGTTCTGGCAGGAATGAAAAACATTGTTCACAAGATAAAATTCCAAGGCAATTAGAGGGGAATGCACTAGCAGCAGCAGCAGCAGCAGCAAAAGATCTCTGGGAGCTAAATAAAATGTACTGGATGCTCACATAGCAACTTCAGATCTACTAGGGGTTAGCAATCACATTGTCTAATTGTCAGAGTAAATACTGAAATGTTCAGTGAGGAACACAGGACAGACAGCAGAACAATACCCATCTAGCTGTACTCACTTTTTCACTAGGAACATTTTGACTTATAGTGGTTAGCTGGGGATAATTATAATGGTTAATTCTGTGCCATGATGAAACATTTTACCTACTGATTTCTGCATAAGCATGTTAAAAGCCCAGGAGAATCCCATTCACCCTAGATAATTATCAGATCTCTTCCCCTAGTCTTTTGAATTTTTATATTCTGTCACAGAACTAATCACTAACAGATATCCACATTATTAATGGTTCACAAAAAAAGTGTCCACACATTAATGCAGCTCCCCCCCCCAGGAGAAGGAATAAGCTAAAATTCTCACATTGAGTGGGTACCCATCTAATCCCTGATCTAACAATCTATGCTTTCCTCACAGAATAGTTGCTTAGCAACTATGTCAACATGGGTGGCAAGTTCTAGGCCCAAGTTCCAGCCAGCTTCAAGTGGCTGCTCTAATAGCTGAGGGGACTGGCTGCTTTTAGGCGGCTCCCCTCAGACTCTGAGGGGATGCCTAGCCCTATTGTAGGGACGTGGGTAAGCTCAATGTTGGTGATTAATGTTGTCCAAGGCTCTTAGTATGGTCCAGACCAGGAAGAGTGCATTTTTCCGGGAAAAGATAAAAGAGGGAAGGTTCATGAAATCTATATGAAATGCTACTTTCTAATACAGAGATTGTTCTTCCCCATTAGTTATCACACATAAAGGGTGTGTTTATTTAGTGGTGACAGAAGTGAAAATGCATTTTTCACTGGCTCAGGGGCCTTTTAAAAGGAAAATTATTTCATATATTCCAGAGTTAAGCCTTCATAAAATCTGGTACAAATTAAGCCTTGACAATTTCATTAACTCAAAACCCCCAGAGATAATGTTACTGTTAAATGGTCACTTGAGCTCAGGTTAGCCCTTTAAAACACAACTAGTTTGTAGAGGAAAGGATGACATCTACTAAGTGCCCCTTTTCCTGAGAACTGACAGCTGAGTGATAGGAGATTCTGTGAAGTGGATTAAGTGCAAGATATTTGGATATTTGTGTTTAACATTAGTTAGGAATGGAAATGTCAGCTATTGGTTGACTCACATCCTATTAGTTGTCTCTAAATAAGGCAAGCCTGAAGCAGTAAGGTGTTCTGGATGAAGCTGCCTGAGTCCATTCCAATCTCCCCTTCTCTGGTATCTCCATTTCTTTTCCCACTTTCCTATCATTGACCTCTATTATGTTTTCCTAAGGTGCAAGTGGTCAGAGGCTTTTGGTTGCCTAGCAACCACAGTATGCTCATTCTGGACAGGAAGCAACATTGGCCTTAGGCATTTTGATATCCTAAACCAGATATATAACTTACAATTTCCATCTCCCATAAACTATACCCTCCTGGCTATCTTTTGGTTTGCAAAATACCGACCAGATCTCTTTATTTTTCCTTTTCTTTTAATGGCACTGTCTTTCTGGGAGAGGAGTTTACAATCTGCATGCTTGCAAGAATCCTTGTCTTTACTTAAGTTGCAAGTTCACCTACACCTCATGTATGACTATATGTACAGTGGAGGTTGATTATGTAATTATAAATTGAATTACATTTTGTGCACATAGGACTACTTCACCAAACCCAAAACTCAGCCCAGATCTCCCATTTCAGGAGCACCACTTAAGAAGGGTGTCTTGGAGACCATATGATTATTCTTCAAAAACACTTTTTATAGTTAATCCACATGACCTACATGCTTATTCTACATGCCATAGTGCTATCATTAGAAGGAACTGCATAGTAAGAATAACAATGTATATGACTTGACTTGAATTTATAGTCTATTTATATACTACAACAAAGCCTTTGATTGCGTGGATCATGAGAAACTATGAATTATTCTTGAAGAAAATGAGTGTTAGCACTTGATTTTCCTGATGCATAATTTGTATCGTGGGCAAGAAGGTACAGAATATAGAGAGCATGGTTTCCTAATCGTCAGATAAGAGTAAATCCTCTTATCTGTTCAATTTGTACGCAGAACATATACAGAAAGCCAGAGTAGATTCAGATGAAGGAGGAGGGGAAATTGGTGGAATACACATTATGCACAAGACATTGTCTTACTGGCAGAAAGCAGGATTGACTGAAAAGACATTTAGTGAAAGTGAAAGTTCCAAAGTAGCACTGCAGCTGAATGTTAAGAAGACAGAAATCATGACTACAGAAAATCTATACTGTACAATTTTAATGTTGATTACAAAGAAATTGAAATAGTGAAATATTTTGTATACCTTGGCTTAGTCATCAATCCAAATGGAAACTGCAGCCAAGAAATCAGAATAAGACTGAGACTCAGACATGTCATGAGATCGCAGGATTCTCTGAAAAAGACAATAATGGCTGAAAGCAGCAGAAAAAGAGGAAAACCAAATAAAAGATGGATCAATTTCCCAAAGGAAGTCACAGACTTGTGTTTACAACTGCTGAACACAGCTGTTGAGGACAGGAAGAATGCTCATTCATTGAGTCACCATAAATTGAAGGCGACTTGACAGCATGTTGCAACAAATCCCTCACTTCACCATTAGATTATTCCCTGAATTATAGCCAAATCATACAAAATCATAGGGGTGGGAAACAATCCCACAGGATATCTAATTCACTATCTACCTTGCAAAAGTATTCTGAAATTATTCCAAGGAAGACAATCCGTTTCCACACTTCCTGCATATTTAGAATATTTCTCTAATATTTATCTAAGGTAAATGTAAAGGTTCCCCTTGACAATTTATCCAGTTGTGTCCAACTCTAGGGGGCCGGTGCTCACCTCCATTTCCAACTCATAGAGCTAGCATTTGTCCAAAGACAATCTTCCGTGGTCATGTGGCCAGCACAACTAGACATGGAACACTATTATCTTCCCACCATGATGGTACCTACGTATTTATCTACTCGCATTTTGCATGTTGCATGCTTTCAAACTACTTGGTTGGCGGGAGCTGGGACAAGCGACGGGGCTCACTCTGACGCGTGGATTTTATCTTACGACGGCAGGTCTTCTGACCTTGCAGCACAGAGGCTTCTGTGGTTATCTAAATCCATCTCTTCTTGTCTCATTCCTGATAGCTATGGTGAACCAATGTTATGCCTTTTATTCTGACAGCTTTTGAAACGTAAGAAAACTTTTGGAATGCATTCTTCTCAATTCCTTCCTTCCTTCCTTCTATAAATAAGTGAATATTTCCACTTCCTTCATTTTTTCTCCTATAATAACAGCATTTTCTGGGATGGCTTGGTTTGTAATCCATTGTTTAAACACATGGTTAAGATAAAAGGAGTCCAGAGCCTTTTGATTAAAACAGGTAAAATATGGAATTATGCATTATTTTGTACTTCAGACATTGCACACAGACCAGGCAACGTACCAAGAAAAACAGCCTTCTGCACTAGCTCCGCCCCCTTCCCTTTTTGTTTTTGCCCATAGCACAAACAAATTCAGAGCAGGGCTCCAATTTTTCACCATAATCAGGATGCTACATACAGTATTTCATAACCTCAGCCCACAAGTGTGGCACAGAATTCTACGTATGGAAACTTTTGTTTATTTTTTAAATAAAAATTTCAGCTATTAAAGTTTGAAAGAATGTTGGCAATCCCTGATTAAAATTCAGATACCAACTTGGGTAGTGAGGTCTGAGTATGGTCTCACCTGGACAGTAAGAATACACAGACATACATCTGTCTCGTCAAATATTTGCCTTTCTGCTGGCCATTCATAACTACAAACAACAGAGATTTCCCCTTGCCTGTTTTCTGATCTTTCTGCTAGGTAAATTAGTCTCCCCAATTAGTTTGTCTTTAAAAAATTATCTTGCCAAATTGTAGGAGTTGCTAGAAGTCTTCAGGGTTCTGAATTCACCTCAAGCAAATAAAATATTTTGTGGGGGTGTACATAGTGTCTTAGTGCACAATAAGGACAGAAATGGCTATGCGTGAATGCTAAGACATCATGCAGTGCACAATCTGCCACTTCACACAGTGCAGCTGAGGTGCACCTTGAATACTTGATAAAGAAATAGCAGGGCAATTAAGTTTTGCAACCGCATCTTTAATTAGAAGAATTATTGCCTTCTTGACACTTCCTAGTAGAACAAGTGAGTCCAGAGTAAATTAATACTGTGTCCCACAGACATTGAAAAGCTTTAAACCATATGCAGTAATGGAGCGGCATGATGCTCATGAAAATTAGGGTGTTACATAAGCATGCCCTATTTTCATTGGCAACTTGCTGGTGGGTATGTAAACAGCAGGAAAAGATAAACAAAATCAGATCTATAGATAGTTCTTTCTGTTTGCAGAAACCAACTTTTGTCAACAGAAAATTGCAGTTACTTTAATACTGAATGTGGAACTTTTGGACTGCCTATAGTTTTGTTATAACATGATTTTGTTTTCTCCACACTGTAGCTGTCAGGTCGTATACTAAAGAGGAGTATAGAAAATGTTAGAGTGGGAGGAGGGTGGAGCTAGAGAATACTTATATTTTTGTATGAAAACTTCCAGAGTCCATCTGCCAGCATGCACACTGGCCAGCATTTATGTTGGTTGGGGGACTCTGAAAACTGTAATGCAAAAAGTAACTTTTCCAACCTCTCAGCTACAATGCTGGAATGGTGAGTATAGCAGGGCAGTTTTAATAGGGTGAACAACCTGTACTGTTGAACATTTTGTGTCAGACATATAAACTGGTGGGGAGAAGCTCAGGCTGAAGTACTCTGCTTATCTGGACTGGGGTTGACCAAGTGTGTTGCAACAAGACTCTAGTTTCTTCCAAATGAAGCCCTCTTAAAGTGACCAAGATCCCAGTGGGAAGCATTTTTAGAGATTTGACTGTCTGCTTTCCCCAACCTGAAGAGTGCTTTTATTGTCAGTAGTACGAATAATAATTCATCCCTATAAAAATCCTTTGTTGTTGTTGGAGGCAAAGTGTGATCTCCACTGGCCCTATCAAGTGAACCAGCAAGTTTGGAGAGGCTGGTGGATTACATTGCTCAATTGCTAATTAGGGGCTCTCTGTTGCCTGTCTTGCTTTAGCACGCCAATGGTTTCTATGGCAACTTCAGAAGCAGATGCAGGAGTGACTACACCCAAGAGTATCGTAAAGCAGCCCAGCCACAACCTCCTGATCTCTTCCTGAAGAGAATGAAGGTGAGTGAGGGGGTGTCCCTTGCTGGTCCCTGACAGGCTTCCTGAGGAGAGAGAAGGAAAGCTGTTTAAATCCTACATTCCTGCCAGCCCCCCTTTCTATGTTTAAAAGTACAAGTTGAATGAAGAGCCTTCTGGGTCTATAGTGTCTAACCCCTTTTTGCAGAAAGACAAGAATTAGATGCTATGGTTAAAGGCGGGCAGAGAATCTTTAATTATAAGATCATATTTTCATATCTGCTTTCAAACTCACTTCTATTATTTTTTGCACTGTATACACCCCATCTTTTTCCTTATGGGTTTGTTTCTCTTGTCCCTTTATCTTTTCCCTCTGTTCTTGGTCTTTTTTAAAAAAAAAATGGCAGATATCTATACTAGAACTTGGGTTGTGGACCAGTTACAGGTTATGGCCATGCTGGTTTATGAGTACCATTCTCTTTCCAAAGACCTGAGAGAAACATATATGGGTTTCCCCATCTCACTACTATTGGGCTTCTTGGTTCTGCTTAGCTTCAGTTAACAGAATTTTAATAAGTGTCTTCACACAATTTTAAAAGGATTTATAACTCTTGAAAACCTGGCCTTCAGCATATGCCTGACTTCAGCTCTTGGCTGTTCAGGAGAAGAGGCACATTGAATCTGCTTGCAAGACCAAACACGCTTCAGCCAGTCTGGAAGCTTAAAAATATATAGGGGAGATTGTTTGAAACATCCACCATGCAAGTAGAGTGCATTCTTCCCCCAGAAGTGGCAAAAGAGCTAGCTGAGGATCAAAGAGTAGGTGTGGAGACCTCACCTTCAAGAGGACTCATGTTCAATTTCTCATATCTCCAAACAGACCTAGAAAAATCCCTATCTGTAACTTTGAAGATAGCTGCTGCTGGTCAGTTGCAACAGTATTAGGCTAATACTTAGATGGTCCTAAGATCTGAATCAGTAGAAGTCAGCTTCCTGTCTACCTATAGGAGTCCAGAAGCAGGGAAGAGGGAACGTTTGGAACAGAAACAACTTGGGAGTATATTGAATACTAAATGTGCATGAAGCCCAAGAAAAAAATCCAATTTGGATAAAAGTGCTTGTTTTATTCCATTTCAATTTGTTACCTCTCTTTTCAGCTACCCAGGGCTTAGTTTGAAAAGAAAGCAGCCCCCTTACCTGGGACAATCTAATTCAAGGTTTTGTAATCCGGGAATTACAACGAAAAGTTATTACATAATATGTTGTGTTGTAAAGTGAAATGTTCTGACAATTTAAAAGGCTCCTTGGGAAGTTGGATTGATGTTTCGGTATTTGTTGTCAGTTTTGTGATTATGTGAATATTGTACACTTGGAAGCTAACATCATCTAAAAGCGTAATTCTTTTAATGGCATCTTAATTATTGCCCCGCTGTTTTTAACAGCTGCTTTGAAGTCTTTTTATAATGGGTGAACATACATTTCTCAAAGAAGAATAAGTTAATTAATAAAAGATAACAAAATTCTGACACTTAGCACTTGTAGAATTCTTCCTTTTCTATGCTTTACTGTCACTACCTGCTCATGAGAAGGATACTGCATCCACTTCAGGTAGTTTCTTCCTGCTTTGGGGAGGAGCAGCTTATCCTCTGTCACTGTGATATGGAAATACCAGTCCTTCTCTTTTATTAAATTTACCTGCTGGGATTTGAGGTAGTAGCTAAACTCTATTTAATTGCCTTGGCAACATGTCAAGCTGCATGTTGTGGATTAGACTCCTAGCACCCAATAATGACACCAACAGTAAGAGGCTTGATATTTCTCCCCATTAGCTAATAAAGGGACCTGCCTTGGGAACCCACCACAGTTCTGACAACAGGTAAATCAGGGCTGCATCTTCCTTGTGCATCTGCCGGAGTTGTGTCACTTTCTAGCACCACAAAAGCAAAAAACAGAACAGCCTGTTGTGGCAGGTTTAGCTCAGGCAACTTTGCATTTGTGTTACACAGATAATCTCTTTCTCTGATCCCTTCTGTTTGCAAGGGAGCTCTCCTGTTGCTAATTTCAAAGTAGAAGGTTAATTCATACATGGACGAAAATGGGAAGACCAATATTTATTTGTGGGATTGCTAATAACCTGTAGTAGAGAAATCGGATGCAACAGACGGAAGTTCTGTTCCCTTGGTATTAGTGTCTGTTTGAGGAGGTGCTGCCTTTCTCATCCATACAACATTCAACATAACAAACTGAACCAGCTGAAATTCCCTGTTTGACAATTCATTCGAGATACAAAATTCGAGGTGCTATCACCTTATTATATTTTAATCAAGAAGTCTGTACAAGAAAATGTTGCTTTCAAAAGCAGCAAGGGAGATTATTCAATGTCTCTTTGGGTTTAAAAACGTAATACTTAATAGGGATGAATAACACCTGAACATTTATGAAAGGGTAGCAAAATATACCTCTCCCACCCACTCCTGAATTTGCTATCTGTAGTAGTTCTAAAGATACAGGAGGAGAGGGCAATAGTTCAGTGACAGCGCACATGCTTTGCATGAAAACGGGCCCTTCTCCATCAGCTTCTCCAGTTAAAGGAACTCAGGTAGCAAATATAAAAAGAATCTTTGACTGAAGCTCTGGGGAGATTCAAGCAAATGCAATTTCATGAGTTCAGAAGCTGGTTTTCTTTGTTTTTTTAATAGTTGGCCTTACACAGAAGCTGAGTGGTTAAGGCCTGGAATGGAAACTTCTGTTTTCACAGAGGGCAATGCTGCTGTTCATTAGCAAAGTCTGTGGGTGGCCTTGGACATGCTTTTCTTTTAGTACTGAAGGGAAGGTCAATATTAAATTAATTGACAGGAGGACTGTTACAAGAGAAAAAGAAAAATGAGAAGGGAGGCCATAGTTCAGTGGTAGGAGTACATGCTTTGTATGCGGACAGTCCCTGGTGCAATCCTCGCCATTGCAAGGTGAAAGGTACCAGATGCTAGGAAAGGCATTTGCTTGAGGCCTCAGGAATCGCAGCCAGGCAGAATAGAGAACAGACAATAGACAGGCTAGAAGAACCCTGGATCTGCGTCAGTGCATGGTTGGATCATATATGTGACAAGTCATGTTATTTGCTGTCTGTCTTTTCAGTATGTTACATAGTGAGCCTTTGTTGTTTAGGTAGCACTATATATGTAAATAGCACATTACAAGGAGCAGGCTTGAAATATCCCTTTCCTTATACTGTACAATAATCTAGAAGTAAATGCATGGGAATAAAGGAGAACAGGGTGAGATATGGAAGTTGGGGTAAGCAGGGAAGAAATTAACGACTACTTTAATGTAGCTATAATAGGATATTAGGACTTGGATACCCAGTATGGTATAATGCAGTGATGACAAATCTATGGCATGTGTGCCAGAGCTGGCACACAAAGCCCTCTCTGTGGGCGAGTGAGTCATAAGTCACTGGATCACTACCCCCGGCAGCCAAACCTGATGAGGTGGCTGCAGCTGCAGTACTAGCACCCTGATAGGTGGCAGGCCAGGATCTGGAGCAGCTGGTGCTGGCAGCAGTGGGTGGGCCAAGCTAGAGATAGTGGCAGTGTTGGGCATGACTGGGGGGACCTCCATGCCGAGGATTACCGCTTCTGCTGCCAACGCCCAACGTCTGCTGGTTTTTTGTTTGTTTGTTTTTGTTTTCACTTTGGTACCACTTCTGCTGCCAACGCCCAATGTCTGCTGGTTTTTTGTTTGTTTGTTTGTTTTTGTTTTCACTTTGGGTATTCAGGCTCAAAAAGGTTGGCCATCACTAGTATAATGGATAGAGTGACAGACTAGAACCCGGGGTTCAAATTCCCACTCAGCATGAAAACGTACTGAGGATGTATATGGGATTGGTAGAACCATTCCATAAATATCTCACTTACCTTGAAAACCTAATTAGAGTCGCTCTAAGTTGGTTCCCACTTGAGGACACATAACATACATTGGGACTAGAGGGTTGTTCCATAGGTTTTCCAGAAAATATATGTTACCGTGTTTCCCTGAAAATAAGACAGGGTCTTATATTAATTTTTGCTCCAGAAAACGCACTAGGGCTTATGTTCAGGGGGTGTTTATTTTACAGTCATGTCATCTTCTGGTTGCTGCACAATGCTGCACAATGGTAGAAGGCAGTGTTTCACTTAACTGGGACTTATTATATTACAAGCATCCTGAAAAATCATACTAGGGCTTATTTTCAGGTTAGGTCTTATTTTAGGAGAAACAGGGTACAAAGATAATTTTGAAGGAAGTAAAAGAAAGTGGTCACATAGAAGGATTCTGCAAGGCAGTTGCTGGGATAAGAGACAAAGAAGAAAGAATAGTGTAATTTCAAGAAGCAGGCAGGAACTATTTGGGCGGCTAAAGGAGATGAAAATGAGTGAATGAAGGTAAAAGGAGGGGGATGTGTTGGAGATGAGGAATACAAAGTCACTGAGAGTTTCAGAAATAAGGATAAGAAACTTGTAAAGATTTGGGAGTAGACTGAAACCAGTGTAGGAATATCCAGAAGATCAGAACAAGAATAATAATAATAAATTTTAGCAGCAGAATGCTACATAGAGGTAAATGGAGAAGGGTGAGACATTAGACCACAAGAGAAAACAGGTTTGCAGTAGCCAAACAAGAAATGACCATGGCATGCATGAGAATTTTTACTAAGGGATCAGAGAGCAAAAGGCTGTTCTTTAGAACAGAGTGAATAGAAAGAGAACATTATATGGTGAGGAAGTAAATGGAAGAGAGGAAATAGGAGTCATAAAAGTTGCATGTTACAAACTTAATGGTATGATTACAATTAGAAGTACAGAATGTGGCATTGGAAAAGCAAGCAAGAGATATTCCCTGCAGATGTCCCACTTCCAGAGGCATGGAGTAAACCACTGATTCTGAATACATGCCTAGTGAAGGTAGCAGTGAGGGTTTAGCTCTGCGGTAGAGTCTAATAGGGCACATAGGCACACAGAGCATCAATACTGTGATGCAAGCAAACGGTTATAAATAAAATCAGAGGTATTTTGGCAGTGCTTGCAAAACAGATAGATTTCCTGTAGTCAAGTTGTAATAGGTTGTGATGAATTGCTGTTTAATACGCAGCACTTCAAAAACAACTTAACATAGAAAATATTACTGTAGAAAAGAAATAGAAATTATTAACAATTGAATTATTGCCGTCAATTATTAATAACAGTTATTATAATGGATAACAGCTAGAGATAATTGCCATAAATATTAGCTTCTAGCAAAACATTTGTTTAGCTGGGTCAAAACTCTAAGCAAAAAATAGTCTATGTTCCAGTTCTCTGACCTCTGCTACCTCTTTGCGTCCAATAAGTGTTTACCCATTTGCTCATTGCGACCCTCATATTCATTGGGGGCCATAGCCTCTAAGCAAAAAAGCTGCTTGTAGAAAATACAAAGCTGGTTTTCAGCTGCCAGCTTGGAAGTGCTTCTCAGGCATCAATAAAAGGCACAATAGTGAGTCCTGTAGAATGATCATTCCTGGCGGCACATTGACTAAACTCGTCTGCTTACATGGAGTTCCTTGAAGTTGACAGCTGCAGAGTGAACATGGAGGTTTTGCTGTTCCAGGGGGAGGTGTTGTGCAGTCCACTGAACAGGGAGAGAAAAGCTTCTAGCCAACTCTGTGCAGGATATGGCATTGCAACTGTACACTTTGATAATGCTGTTTAACAATGGACTTTGAATGAACAGAATGATTAGGTTTCTTCTTTTTGATAATTTTGCATTTTATGCATTAAAGATAATGCAGAAGTAGAATAATATCACATAAAATCTCTAATAAAGAGAGGATGGGGAAATAAAATTCACTCTAGGTCTTAGTGGGTTTGGGGAAAGTGTGAAAATTAACCATTTCTCTAATAGAAAGACTGATGATATTGCAAAGCATTGGGGAAAAAAAGTTGATTTAATCCTCACTTTTCTTGGAGATGACCGTTAGGTTGGCTCCCGCCAACCTAGCGGTTCGAAAGCATGTAAATGCAAGTAGATAAATAGGGACCACCTCGGTGGGAAGGGAACAGCGTTCCGTGTCTAAGTTGCACTGGCCATGTGACCACGGAAGATTGTCTTCGGACAAAACGCTAGCTCTATGGCTTGGAAACGGGGATGAGCAACGCCCCCTAGAGTCGAACACGACTGGACAAAAATTGTCAAGGGGAACCTTTACCTTTTACCTTTGTTGGAGAAAATGGAAAACATATGGCTAATAAACTGCCTTTCAAACAGTAGTGTGTACAGTATGGGCTTAAAGATTCTAAACCACTGTACCAGCCTGGGCACATCCAGTTATGTCTGATGTTGGAAGATAAACAGACTTAACCCAGATGAATACATGGATGGGAAACCATGAAGGAATACTAAGGGGTTTTAGTTACAGCTTGTCCCGCCAACCTGAGCTGACAACAATGGTCTGACTCTATAAGGCAGCTTCCTGTGTTTAACTGGGGCTGTCAGTTGTCTGAATGTGAAGATGAAAAATGGATTTAAGATAGTGTTTAAATGAAACGAAACACTAAAGGTAAAGGTTTCAGGTAAACCCCCAAAACCTTTACCTGTGAGAAACTTTAGCATCCATGCACAGATCCATGTTGCTGGGGCAGCCATTAAGTCCTTGGTCTCCATGATGTCCTTGGGCCTGTCACAACCTTTCATATTGTCCACAGCCTTACAGATGTTGGACAGATACAAATTAGAAACTGATCGTCTGGATTCATTTCAATCAGGGTTTAGGTCGCAGGATGGTTATGAGACAGGACGGGTCACTCTGCAAGTTGATCTTCTAAGGGAGACAGACAGGGGGTGTATAACCTGTGGTCCTCCTGGACTTTTCTGTGGCCTTTGATACTGTCAACCATTGTATCTTTCTGGAAAGGTTATCAAGGTTAGGGATTAGGGGTTCCATTTGCTGCTGGTTTTTGGTCTTTGGTCCTTTTCTTATGCTCTCATATTTATGATCTTCTGCATAATATGGCATAAACAAGCATATAGCTCAGCACATGCTGTAAAATAATATAAATAGATTGATCTATATAACAGTGGTTCTTAACCTTGGGTTACTCAAGTGTTTTTGAACTGCAACTCCCAGAAACTCCAGCCACCACAGCTGGTGGCGAAAGCTTCTGGGAGTTGCAGTCCAAAAACACCTGAGTAACCCAAGGTTAAGAACCACTGATCTAGAACACCATTTGTGTGTTTGATTGTTCACAAGACTAGCCACGAGATCAAATAAGTAGATTTGTGATGTCTTCAGTGTTTTTTTAAACATAAGAATTCCTATTCCTATTGATAATTGGTGGTGCTTGTGACTAATTTTGAGAAATTTTGCATGAGTCATATATTCCAGAGTCCGATGATTTTTAAAAAATGCTCGTGTGTTACAAGTGGTTTGGTCGTGTATTTGCAGCTTTGTCTGTATTACCTACTTGCCCTATACTCAGTTTTCTGGCATGCAAAGCACAGCTAAATTCCATGCATATCTCCTCAGAAGAAAGCCTTGATGGAGGCTTTCTCCATTTGATGGATCCAATTAGTTTGCATGCAATTGTATAGGCACAATTTAGTTCTTTTATTTGAGGTTTAACTAGCTTTTTAAACAGTAAGGCATTTATAGTCTTAATCTTAGAACTGTGGATCTGAAAGTGATCTATGGATCATCAAGTCCAGACCCTGCCAAGGAAGTACAGCGGAGACTGTAAAGTAGAGTGTTTAACATTTAAATTCTTTATTGTGATTATCTCTGATCATTGATCAGAGTATAATTCCCTGGTTAGCTCTGAAGAATGCCTCTCCCTGGCACGATGGACTCAGTCTAGATTGCTGTAGCAGTCAGTCTTTTTCCTACAACCAACTGATAATGGGCTGTGTAGGCAAAAACGTGAGCCATGCAGTCAAAGAGTTGTACACCTCCTCGGAAATGATCAGTTCATTATGAAGTCATATGTATTCAATTGTATTTCTTTTTAAAAACAGTTCTTTAAAGCAAGAGCAGGCAAAATGTGGACCCTCGACTTACTGAATTAATTACTGGAACAGGTCGAAAAGTCTGTAGGTTGAGGCTCCATTGACCTACAATGCATTGAAAACCGATTAATCTGTAGCCAGCTGTTTTTGTTCCATTTTTTTCTGGTTTGTAGGTTGATTCTCTGGGTGCAAGTCAAACCTAAATTTTGCGGCCAGAGAAGTCTGTAACTCAAAAAGTCTGTAAGCGGAGCTGTCTGAAAGTCAAGGGTCCACTATATTGCTCAACTGCAAGTTCCAGCATTGGCTGAGCAAGCTATAGCTGACAGGAGCTGGAAGTCTGTGCTTTGCCCACCCTTGCTTTTAGGACTACTTTGGTCTTGTATTCAACATCATAACATTTCTGTGTACTAATGCCATAATATAGATGGAGAACTGAGGCTAAGAGAGAGAACTTGAAGAGATGGTGCATGTTTTTGCAAAGCTTCTCAGTTCATCAGAATTTATGATCTTTGGGATGCACTTGTCCTTAAGAAGCCCTCTGGTTATCAGCAGCAAATCTCATTCCTCGTCTACTTATCCAGTTGCAGACTGAACATTTTACAGAGGTCTAATCTTATTTGTGCTCTTTTCCAGGAAACCCCTTCTAAGCACATATTCTCCAAGCATGACAACAGGCATGCCTTCCCAGGATCAGCTACATATTTTGAAAGTGTGAGTGTGTTGGTCATGTGCCTATGTAGATTTTGCAACCCCTTACCTTTTTTTTCTCTCCAGTGTGGCAAAAGAGCTGGCAGTGAAGCTAATCAGAGGGGTGCTTGATTAGGGCCATAATTTTCATTCCTACTGTGATTAGCTCTCCTTTGACAGCCAGCAGAGCTTCCTTGGGAACTGATGACACAAACTAGCTGCAGTTAAGAGCTCTGGGTTGCAATAAGGCAATGCCAAACCATAGTGTCTCATAGTTTCACACTTATTGTCACATGCCTCTCAGTAGTCAGACTCGGAAGCCGAGCATGAAAAATTGCTTTTTGGGTTATAAGAATCCCAGAATGATTGTGGGCTGTAGTCATAGTTTTACTATTTGGGGGAGCCTAGCGTAGGGTTTTCAGACTGTGACAAAGGCAGTCAACCTGAGCTGCATAATTATAAAAACAGTCGTAGGGAGTTGTGTGATACAGGGATACACACTCCAGCTAGTCAAGCACTTGTGCAGCCAATTTGCTTCTGTGTACAGCCAGTTTCTTCCAATCACAAACTGGCCACACTGCAGACTTTATGGAACTGTTGCTGGAAGGTCTTAAGTGAGATCTGTTTGCTAGTTTTGTCCCCAGCAGATCGCATTGGTGGGTAGGAGTGAGGCATTCACAAGATGGAAGGTGAGGAGACCTTTCAAGACCTCATCATAATTAATGCTGTGGGGAACCTAACAAGATTTTTAAATCCAGAATTGGGCTCAGAAAAACAGCAGCAGCAGCAGCTTCTTTCCATCTTTGGGGGTAATAAGTGAGTCCAGTTCCAAATAGCCCAGGCTAGTGCATACAGTCCAGTTCTTTCTGAATACAGTGAGAAACATTACAGTGGTATCTCCTGCTCTAGTATTCCTTATTCATCCATGATAAGTCTTCTGGTCTTTCTTGGATAATTAGATGGTTGATGTGGATAATTAAATGATTGTTTTGCATGGAAAATATGAATTGCCCATCTGTTGCTTCATGGCAGGGCCTTGGAAGAAGGAGAATAGATGGGAGCCTTCCTAGCACCCAGAACTTAATTGACTGGATGCCCCTAAAGGAAGAGTTACAACGTGAGAGGCCCCTTGTTTCGAGCTATCAATCAGACTTCCGCTCCACAGAAAAGCCCCCCCAGCTGTTAGTTCATCACGCCCACTTGGAAAAGCGGCCCCTCCAACGCACACCCAGCACTACCTATCAGCACACATACCGGAGCTACTACTTATGTGAACCCAGCCTTAGGGTACTCAAATCACACCAGCTGATCAAAGAAGATAAACCCAAAGAGCCAGAGTCTGCTCCCGCCACTTCCAGTGAGCCCACTGCTCCCATCCATAGCAAGTCTTCTGCTCCTGCCTCCAGTGAGCCCACTGCAACAGATGCAAATGCAACTGCAGAAGCTCTTGCTCCAGGACCTACCTATGGGCACTCTGTGCCTTACAAGACACCCCGATGGACTGTCTCAGACTGTTTGAACTGGAACAATTGTTGATCACATGTGGTATTTCCTCTGCCTGTGTCTGAGGAAAGTGAAATGCTCCTTTGTACGAGGTTAAAAATGGGAAAAAATAAAATCTTGCTGGCCTGCGCAATGTCTGACATACAGGAGTGAATGGGAGCATTACATGCCTACTCACACTTACCCACCTGCAAAGAGTGGATTTTTTGCCATGAAATGTCTTAATCTTTGTTACTGGGCTGATTGGTTCCTTAGAACTGTGTAGGCATACCGTATTTTCCTTTCTTAATTCTGCCAGCGTCACTGTCTTGCCATTCAATTCATTTTTAAAGTAAAGATAAAAGGTGGAGTAGGATAAAGGAAGCATTTAAGTGAGAGTTGGGGTGTGGAAAGTAGCCTCCTTTGTTACATCTGTGTGACTGAACTGTAGTTTATGATATACAAGAAATTAGATAAAAGGGCCTGTCTCCAGGATGGTCACATCTGCACAAACCCAGATATGCAGCTTCTGGCACCTGTGAATGGATCTTTATAAACAGACACATTAATATAATTTTTGAAAGGAAGCATCTGGATCCCCTCTTCTACTCAAAAAATTAGATGTCAAGGAAGTGCTACAAAAGAGGATCTTCACTGAGACATTATCATCATGGAAGCATACAGTCATTAGATATATATCCATGGGACATATTGCTCATGATTTGCCCTGGGCAACTTAGAGAAGAAAAAAGCAAACAAATTAATCTATGTCAAACAGGCAGTTATGGCATACAGGTTGCATGAAAGCTCTAGTAGAACACACACTGTTACACCCAGTCTGTTAATCATCCAACAAAAGTGCTGGTTCTTGACTATGAGTTCTGGAAAATCCAAATATTTTCCTTCCAGGAAGTGCTTTTGTTTGTTTTGGAAGCACTGATTGATTTGGGCTTTTGTATTCAACAGCAACAGTTGAACTGTTGCAATCTGGAGAGCCTCCTGATATCTAATTTCTTGCAGCTGTGTGTCAAAGATACTGTAAGAACTCTGATGATGGGGATGAGGATTACTAATCCCCACCCTAGTGAAACCATTGTGTTGTGACCCTGACAACAGTGTTTAGCTTACAAAGAGAGGGCTCATCCAGTTGTAGAGATGAGAGTACCCTTGTCAGACTGTTGTCCAACAGGGTCCTGTAGTCACAACTGCAGCTACAAAAAATGCAATGTTGACTATCTACAGCATGCAGATTTTTAGAAAAGTCACCACCATGGAAACAAGATGGCTGCCACTATTTTTGAAATTGGCAAATGTTTTCTATCCAGAGCACTGCAGAGTTTGCAGGGCATTGGCTATTGGGGACAATCAAAAGGTGCCTGAAATCACAAGATGTCTAAATCAGGGGTCACAGCAGATAACTAGCATCACTGACAAACATGAGCAGCTGTCAGTACTGGTCATGAACTGCACCAGCTGTCCAAGCACACCAGACAGTGATGCAGGATTTGTCTGGCTGACCTGGAACTGCAGCCATAAAGAGCCCTTAATCACCATCTAGCTCTCATCTGAGCAACTGGTTACCTTGAGTTTGTCTCCAGACTAGCATTGTAGGTCTTCAGATTGTCTTGTTTATCTGCTTTTTTAGTGTGTCTCCTGTTTCATAAATGAGTGTATTATTTCATCTTCTGCAGGTAGAAGGGCTTTGGGAGATGCACAGATACCCTACTCCCCACAAGCCCCACCTACCTCTTGTGCCAACATTTATGCTGTCACCATGAAGGGCTGAATTAGGATTTCAAGTGCATCCAACACAACATGCTGAGAAGCCTTTGTGCAATTGGAAACCCTGATATGCATCTTCTGCATTCCACAGAGTTTACAAACATGTTTAAAAGCCCCTTCAGACCTTGGCACTAAATGCACAAAAGTAAGAAGTGGAGCTAGTACACTGGGACTGGGCTCTACATGTTGGCTTCCCCATTTTCTAAGTCTGCAATGCTTTCATCTCTACCTACAAACAAGACTTTTAATTGACAATGATCTAGCTACTTAGTCTTTTGATGTGGGTGGACTAATTATCTGGCGAGGATCAAAACATACCATTTCTCAACTATGGTGGTGTACTTGACCGTCTGGTAGTGATTAACCCTGCAATGACAAGTTGTAGGGAGCAGCCGGATGTTAAAGGCATATAGAGCATAGAAGATATAATAGTGCTAAGACAAAGGAAAGGATCTCAAAGTAAAAACCAATTATGAATGAGTCACAAAGGGGGAAAATCCCACAGGTTTTATTGGCATGAGGTGCTACACCACCTCCTAGGCACTGAGCTAGAGGGCACCTTATGTGCTACATGAGACACAGACTGGGTTAAGAACACACCACAAGGCGTCATGGCTACACCCAGCTTTCCTAGAGTCAACTCAGCTGTACAGCAGAAGAGACATCACCACAAGAATAGCATTGATAGCTCAAAGCAGAAATACTGGAGTACCTGCTCCACTACAACAGCATCTTCCTTCCCCCCTTCCTCAGAACCTGCTGAGGAAACCTCATTGCCCTTTGCAATTAAGGGCCAGTCCATATAGCCCAAAAGCTGGCATAAGCAAGCATGTGGTCAGAGCTATGCCTCCGTCTGTGTGATTGCTTCACTGCATATCAGAACTCAGGGTGTGAATAGATGGTCCAATTATTACAGATGGGATCAGTCTAGATCAAGTTAAACAGGGTTGCTTTGAGGCATGGTACAGTATATCATTTGGGGTAAGCCTTGCATCCACATGCAAGGGTCAACCACACTGCACCTCAAGCAACTCCAATTAACATGATCTAGACCAGTCTTCCCATTTAAAAATAAACAGAACACAAAAAAATCCCCCTCTTGTCTCCTACTCTGTTCTTTGACTAAGTTACTTAACAATCTTGAGAAATGAGAAGCTTCCTTGCTGTTTGCCTGCAGACGGGAAGGTAGAGGAAGCTTTGCATTTCTTCTTAATTTTCGCTGACACAGTACATTGGGGATGCTTTGAAGGGCAATGCACTGATGCACTGAATTAAACAAAGTGGTAAAAAGACAGAAAGCAACTTTGGTTCAATACCACCATGCTAGAACCGAAACAAAAATTGAGCAATCCTACCTACACCAAAAAGAAGAGAGTAGCCCCTGGCAGACGAGTTGTTAAAATGCACACACTAATCTAAAGAACAGGTTTAGCCCAACAGAGAGGGACACACACAAAGAGAAGGAAGACTCTGCTCTCAAGAGCTTGCAGTCTAAACCTGAAAAATGGGAGAGAGGGAGAAAGCAGTGGGTGGGTAGGTTGAACTGAACTAATAATTTTGGTTTGACAAAAGCAATCACATTGACACTGGGCCCAGCCCAGCTCGTGTTCCTGCCAGCTCCATCTGGAGTGAGAAGGCTGTGTGTAATGAAGAAACCACAGCAATGGAGCAAGGAATTCTGCTTCTGCCTCCAGCACCAAGAGGTTAACCTCCACTGAGCCTCCCCTACTCTATCAGGCGAAGAGAAGCGGCTGAGCCTCGTCCTGCTTACAGGGGAGGCTCCTCTCATCTCTGAGAAACTCTATGCTTTGCAAAGATGAAGTGTCTTATTTGGAGAACAGCAAGAGGAAAGGTCACTACTGCTGCAGGCTGCCTGGTTATTAACCAAGCACACGTTCTGCTCCTTGCTCCATTGTACATGCATCCTGTCTTCTGTCATCAGGCACTTTAGTCTACGTGGCTTGTATCCACCAGAGAGTGTCACTCAGACCCCTTCCTGGAGACATAAGGCCTCCACTGCGCTGCTGGGGCCCTGGGCCACCCCTCCAATCACAAAGAGCAGGTTGGCAGCCTCCAAGCTGGAGCAAGAGCAGCGGCCTGTAGGCATGGAGGGCAAGGCATCCCATTTTTTCCTGGCCAGGTTAAACCCTTCGACAGATCCCAAAGGACACGACTGGTTCCCTGGAAGAGAACAAAAATAAAGAGAGATCCATTAGCTAACAGAGCAAACTTTTGCTGATGCGTGCCATCGTTCCTTTTTCATTATAAGAGATTGGCACTGCCAAGCCACGTTGCGTGCCAGATCTCTCTGAAGAACTACTGTGTGCCACATCCTGCTGAAGCCAATGAAGTGACTCTTAGAAGGGCAACAATGAAGGAACTAGAAAAGAGCATCAAGTGTAAGAGTGTGTCACTGGAGACTGAGACCAAGATAATCCACACTCTTGTATTTCTGATCACCATGTACAGGTGTGAAAGCTGGTCAGGAAAGAAAATGGAAAAGGGCACATAAAAACAACGACACATAAAAGGCCAAAGGCTTGGAGCTCAACGTAAAGCCAGGAACAGTTTAGACAGATCTTGGAGCATTTTCTCACAACAGACCACCTGGGCAGCTCTCCGGATGCTGCCACCTATACTAGCAGCATTGTGTGAAAGACAGTGACCCCATGCTAAACGAGGCTGACAGAATTAAAGGGAGGAGGAGGAAGGGAATTAAAAAACAACTACCGAAGAAAAATATATTATGACTCCAGCGTGAGCTTTCAGGGATCAAAATCCTTTCCCTCAGATACGAATCAATTTAAAAAAGAGATAATGATTCAAATTGATTAAAAAAAAACACATTTCAAAGTATGAAAAAATTACCGTATTTTTCGCACCATAAGACACACTTTTTTCCCACAAAACAGGGGGGTGGAGAGTCTGTGCGTCTTATGGAGTGAAGAAAATAGATTATATTTTCCTGTTTTCTTCTCCTAAAAAATTGGTGCGTCTTATGGAAAGGTGCGTCTTATGGAGCGAAAAATACGGTACTTACCATGGAGGAAATACTATCTGATACCCAGATCCTCTTTGTTGCCTGAATGATGTGTTAAGGCCCTTCACAGCTCTGATGCTTGAGATTTGTTCAAGGAAGATGCCAGGAACTGAACCTGCTTTTGTCTGCCCTACGTGTTCTACCACTAATACAGACCCTTCCCTGACAGAGCACTCTGCTGTTTTTTCTCTTTCAGATTAAATAATATGGAATTATTTAATTTACATTACGAATTCTGTACTCACAATTGCCAGCACAGATGACAATACTCATTCTGCCCCTAACGTTTTTGCTACCCTGAATGCAAATAAGACAAGATAATGAAAACACGTTAACAGGCAACAGATGCGTATGAAAAGCTGGAACTAGGCATTATGCAGTGATGTCCTTGCTGCATAATATGAATGTGGCACTTCCTGTTTTTGGAGAGGGTAAGCAATGAGCCTACTCGCACCTGCCTCTTTTCTCCTGCAGCCTTTTGTGCTTCAGTCTGTTTCCTGGTTGCCAACCTTCCTCACAGTTTCCCAGCTGGGGCAAAGGGCTCAGGGAAAAGGGATTCCATGCGGTGGGCAGAGAAAGCCTTGAGCATCTGCTGCCTTCTCCTCCATAATGCCTTTCCCTACATCCCTTCCCTGTCCTTCTAGCACACAGTAGCCTGATATGATCCTCTGTTTGCTCTGTGACCTACTTTCAATCTAAATGAATGAAGTAAAAAGGCACAGCTTTTGGGAAAAATCTGATTTCACCAGGAATGTTCTTTACAAATAAAGAAGGGATTGAAACACTTGAGAGAGAAGGTGTGGGGCTCTTTGTGTAAAGGATGACATGCTAGCCATCAAGACCTCAAGCACAAGGTCTCGCCCTATTAACACAAGATAATCAGATACAGGTTAAAAGAGAGGATATTTTAGACCTAATTGATAAATTGAAGATCAGTAAGTCACTGGGCTCAGATGGCATCCACTCACGGGTTATTAAAGAACTGAGGAATGAAGTTGCTGATCTCTCAACTAATATATATAACTTGTCCCTTAAAATGGCCACAGTGCCAGATGACTGGAGGATAGCACATGTCACACCAGTCTTTAAAAAGGGAAGGAGGGGCAACCCAGGAAACTACAGGCTAGTAAGCCTAACGTCTGTTCCAGGGAAGATGGTGGAAAGCCGCATCCAAGATAAAATCTTAAAACACACAGAAGAACAAGCCTTGCGGAGGGAAAATCAGCATGGCTTCTGTAAGGGTAAGTCTTGCCTCACAAACCTTTTAGAATTCTTTGAAAAGGTCAACAGGCAGGTGGATGTGGGCGAACTGGTGGATATTGTCTACCTGGATTTTCAGAAGGCGTTTGACATGGTCCCCCAGCAAAGGCTGCTGAGAAAACTCCACAGTCAGGGGATAAGAGGGCAGGTCCTCCTATGGACTGAGAATTGGTTGGGAACCAGGAAACAGAGAGTAGGTGTCAATGGGCAATTTTCACAATGGAGAGAGGTGAAAAGCGGTAGGCCCCAGGGTCTATCCTGGAACCAGTGCTTTTCAGCCTGTTCATAATGACCTGGAGACAGGGATAAGCAGTGAGGTGGCCAATTTTGCAGATGACAGGTGAAGACCAGAAGGGATTGTGAAGAGCCCCAGAAGCATCTCTCCAAACTGGGAGGATGAGTGGCAAAACGGCAAATGTGTTTCAATATAAGAAAATGTAAAATAATGCACATTGGAACAAAAAAATCAAAACTTTATTTATCAGCTAATGGGTTCTGAGCTGTCAATGATGGATCAGGAAAGAGATCTTGGTGTGCTGGTGGACAGCTTGATGAATGTGTCAACCCAGTGTGTGACAGCCGTGAAGAATGCCTATTCTATGCTAGGTATCATTAAAAATGGGATTGAAAATAAAACAACCAACATTATAATGCCATTGTATAAAACACTGGTAAGGCCATGCCTGGAGTATTACGTAACAGTTCTGGTCGCCTTGCCTCACGCCTCAAAAAAACATTGTGGAACTGGAAAAGGTACAGAAGAGAGCGACTAAAATGATGACTGGTGTGGGGCACCTTCCTTATGAGGAAAGGCTACAGCGTTTGGGGCTCTTTAGTCAAGAGAAAAGGCCCCTGAGGGGTGACATGATTTCAGACATAAAATTATTCAGGGGATGGATAAAGTGAATAGAGAGAAGCTCTTTTCCCTCTCATGCAAAACTAGAACCAGGGGATATCCACTCCAATTGAGTGTTGGGAGAGAACAGACAAAAGAAAGTATTTCTTTACCCAATGAGTTGTTGGTCTGTGGAACCCCTTGTCACAGGATGTGGTGGTGGCATCTGGCCTAAATGCCTTTAAAAGGGGATTGGATAAATTCCTGGAGGAAAAATCCATCGCAGGTTACAAGCCATGATGGGGGATGTATAATCTCCAGGCTTAAAAGGAAGGTACCTCCAAATGCCAGATGCAGGGGAGGGGGATCAGTAAACAGGTCTCTAGTTGTGTCATGTGCTCCCAAAGGCATCTGGTGGGGCTACTGTGAGATACAGGAAGCTGGACTAGATAGGTCCTTCTTATGTTCTTTTATTCTTATGACTTCAGCAACAATTTTTTCTTAGGAAAGCCACGTTAATTATTAGGGTAGGCTCCCACATTAATTGTCAGGGTGAGTTCATAGGTTGACAGGGTAGCCTGTTTTGCACTCCTCCCCAATGCAATAGGCTCCAGAGCAGTGGTCAGATTGTTCTCCCAGAGGCCTGAACTAACCATATTTCAAATACTTTTTGAGTTAAGGACTGCATTAGATCAGACAGGGCCACAGATGCTTACCTCTGCTATGAGAGAGATATACTTCTAAATGCACAAAAATAAGGATGGTATTTCTTTTGAATCTTGAGAGGACTAAAGGATCACTATGTTGTAACCATTACTGTGTCTCTCTGGACTTGCAGTGCTTACCAAGGCCACCAGCTGCTACCACACGTCCACCCAGATAGCCAGCTACAAAGTCAGCTCTCTTGTCTCTCATGCGGATGGTACGGCTCAGCCGGCTCCAGGACCCTGCATGGGAAATTGAGGGAGGTGGAGAACACACTGTAAATGGAGAGAAACTAGGTAAGCGGTAAAGGGAGGGTATTTAGACAAGCAGCCATCCATACAACTATTGACCAGGGAGTTGAGTATCCCAGCTTTGGTTAGTGTATTTACCTACATGAACACAATAAATTTATGGATGGATGGATGGATGAGTCACTGCAGCTTTGATATATGAACCTGTCTAGCAGATCCTGCCTCCAGCACCACCCTCCCTATGCTGCAACATGTGTTGCAGTCATGTGAGAAGAACTGTTGGTATATATAATAATACAACACAGAATGTGTATGTGTATGTTTAAATGTGTTTACTATGAAAGACAAGAATGTTGTATTTGCATAACACAGCATTCTGACCAATCAGAATGTGTCTGGAGTCAGCCAGGCAGCCATATAAGGCAGGTGTCAATTAGAAGTCAGTCAGACAGGAACATGTACAAACATATGACACAGACAGGGTCTCAAACAATATCTAATTCGGATGGAGACAGGGTTCAACATGTAATATGTGTCATACCAAGCTAGGGACAAGAACCAAATATGGGACACAAAACAGGGACCAAATATGTCACATAGTGCTGTTAGGGCTGATAAAGTTAAAGATGTAACTGACAATATTTGATAGGGCCAGTTAGGGCTTACAAATGTAATTGTGTCAGGATGCGAGAGCTAGGTTAAAGATGTAACTGACAGGATTTGATAGGGCCAGTTAGGGCTTATAAATGTAATTGTGTCAGGATGCGAGAGCTAGTTATTTACCAGAGAAAATATTTCTATCAATAAGCTAGCAACATGTATGACAAATACCAAAATGTCTGAGCACCATAAGATATGTTATATTTTACCGATGTTTACAAATAATAAGTTATTAATTGTTTTAATCAAAAGCACAAGTAATTATTTTACTATCAATAGCTGGCACAAAACACACCTAAGGGAGTACATCAAATTTAACTCTACCGAGTGGTTTTTTATCAATACACTTCAAATCGCTGTACACAGACTCTACAAGTTAAGAGGTTTTATATTATTTATTATTGGGAACCACAAGGAGAGGTATAGGGTCCTTCAAGGCAGGGGTTGTGTACCCACTTTCACCCACAAACAGTTTAAGCATGAGCTCACAAACACACACACACAAACACACACTAAGTAGGAGGAATACCTGCAAAGCAAGGGGACAATAGCTAGTTAATCTCAGGGCTTCTCATCTCTGCCCTCACCTCCACTTCCAAGTCAAGCTTACCTTCCTCCGTGTCAAACATCTCCACCGTATTGACAAAGTGCGGGCGGGAATAGAAGTTGTGGGGCCCCGGCTGCTGCAGTCCTCCCAGGCTGAAAAAGCAGCCCTCCGCCATGGCACAGCTGGCAAAGGCACGCCGGCTGGGCACACTGGGGTAGCGGGTCCAGCTCCTCACTTCCAGGTCAAAGGCTTCAAAGGCTGTGACAGGCAGCTTGCCTTGCCTTCCTCCTGTGGCCGAAGCAGACGATGAGATCTGAGATCACCTTTTTCTCTGTGGCACAGCTGGGAGAAGTTACTTTTTTAAAAAAAACCACTCAGTTTCCCCCAAATCTTTCTGCCAGTGGCCATGCTGGCTGAAGGAATCTGCTAGTCATGTTCTGAAAAAGTAACTTCTCAAAGCTCTGCTCCTTGGGAGTGACAGGAGTATTATCATGGGTCTGGATTTCCCACCTCGGCTTTCCAGAGATAAGACTATCCAGAGATTCATGGCTGTAGCTGGATAGGGCTGGCCTTGAGAAAAGATCTCAAGTTTTTTTTAAAAAAGCCATAAACCCCTTCACTCACGTGAGCTGCAGGTTGCGGTTGTTTACATGACCCCAAGGCTATAAGTGAGTTCCGCATGGGAGACCTAACTTGGACAGAATCTCAAAAGGCTGTCTGTACATCTCATGGTTTGTGAGCACTAACACACCAGGGAGGCTGTCACCCTCGGTGATGGACGGGGCCCACAGTTCCACAGAAAAGCACTACAACCTGCCACCGACTCAAGGCCATCAAACCAGGCTCAAAAGAGTTCATAAAACATCCCGAAGTCCCTTGCTTGAATATGCAGGGGCTACTAATTCAGCATAAAATCCTCTAAAGCTCTATTCATGCATTCCGTTGATTGGATTAGCTGTGCAGGTTGTGAAAGCATGGTTGGTGATCCTGCCCTGCCACTGTGTCCTTCCTAGACCCTGACATCCACTCACTGGACAAAGCTGCTGGATGTACCCTGGCTTCCTCTCTGAGGATATATGTCCTCCTTTACACTCCTCCCAAAGTGTGGCCTGGGGTAAGTACATCCAACAGTGATGGCCTCTTTCACCTCCTACACATAACTACAGTCACACGGAGAAAATACCCAAATAGGGCTTAATTGTGAATGGTATAAGCTCAGCTGAGTCTCCTATGGTGCCGTTCAAATTGCATGAGGCCTTGACCTCAAACATGAATGGTTTTTTCCAGGTGTTTGGACTTCCTCTCCCATAATCCCTGAATAATCCCTGAATGGGAGTTGAAATCCATAATACTGTGAGGGTCAAATGTTCCCTATTCCTGCCTTAGACCACAATCTGTGGGGAAAAAAAGATCCTGCATGCTTGAGCAGGGCACCGTCCATTATAGCCTCAACTGGTGTGAATAAGTTTCTCCTGCTCATTATTTCCTCTTGCTTTCTCATTTCTGTCAAGCCCTGCAACTCTCAACGGAAGGATCATGGTGTTTTTACACTACAAGCAGCACTTAGTACGTTTTGGGTTGCGAGCTGAGGACAGCCTTTTTATAAAGTGGCGCTTTTCATCCACTTCTGATAGCCACAGATTGTGGGGGGGGGGAGAGACATCTTAGTTAATCAAAGATTAATACAAGGAAACATGGATAGCCTACACCTTACCCATCACGTAGATCTTGTTCCCATGCAAGAAGGTGGAGGCTCCATAGCAGGGCGTAGGCATAGAGGGCAGGGCCAGCCAGCAATCTTTTGTGGAAGGATCATGGCGTTTCTACACTACAAGCAGCACTTAGTACGTTTTGGGTTGCGAGCTGAGGACAGCCTTTTTATAAAGTGGCGCTTTTCATCCACTTCTGATAGCCACAGATATCAAAAGGACTAAGAATCTGCAAAGCATTTAATTGGGGAGGGGGACATCTTAGTTAATCAAAGATTAATACAAGGAAACATGGATAGCCTACACCTTACCCATCACGTAGATCTTGTTCCCATGCAAGAAGGTGGAGGCTCCATAGCAGGGCGTAGGCATAGAGGGCAGGGCCAGCCAGCAATCTTTTGTTGGCTCATACATCTGCACCAGAGCTTGTGGAGAAGTGTCTGCACCCATTCCACCTAAAGCATAAACGTTACCATCTGGTTAAAAAAAAAAGGAAACACAATTACTAGTTAAAAGGTTAGCTGTGGAAAGTCTTTCTTTATTGGTATCAGTGTTGCACAAATTAAAATTACAGATACAGTGGTGCCTCGCTTAACGAATACCTCGTTAAACGACGAATCCACTTGATGATGAGGTTTTTGCAATCGCTTTTACGATCGCAAAACAATGTTTCAAAGGGCTTTTTTCGCTTCCCAACAATCGGTTCCCTGCTTCGGGAACCAATTCTTCGCATTAGGATGATCAAAACAGCTGATCGTTGGGTTTCAAAATGGCCGCCTGCTGTGTAAAATGGCTTACCGCTGTGCTTTAGGATGGATTTTTCGCTTTACAGGCACCCGAAAATGGCCGCCCTATGGAGGATCTTTGCTGGACGCGGAGGTATTTAGCCTACTGGAATGCATTGAACCAGTTTTCAATGCATTTCAATGGGCTTTTTTATTTCGCTTGACGAGGATTTCGCTCTACTATTGGAATGTATTGAACCGGTTTTCAAAGCATTTCAATGGGCTTTTTTATTTTGCTTGACGAGGATTTCGCTCTACAGCAATTTTGCTGGAATAGATTATCCTCATCAAGCGAGGCACCACTGGATATATGTAATATATGTAGGCAAAATTAAAACAAATTAAAATGTTTAATATACGTAGGCAAAATTAAAACAAATTAAAATGTTTACTATTTAGACTTATTTTTGACCAGAAGCAGGTGACGTCAATAAAATTATCTCAGCCATTTACTGGATCTGCTTCTGTACATGTGGTGGGTCACAAATTGCCTGCATGTAAGTGCTGCATTGATTCAATTTCTTACATGCACAGAAAATTTGTCCTGCATCCAAGTAGCCCCATTTTACTTGATTATTCTTTGATATCCCTACTTCACTTCAAAGTCTATTAAGTGACTTCCAGATGGTCCAGCTAGAGTCTTGTCCTGTTGGGAGATTCTTTTCAGCATTCATCCATTTGGCAAGGTGTCTTTTCAGCATTCATTCATTTGGCAAGGTGTGTTGATTTTGTTGTCCACAGATTTAGCCTAACCTCTTCTGGTAGGGGGGAAGTAAAATATATAAATAAAAATAATATATGTAAAAACCCCAATATATATAAAACTTCTCTCTCTCTCTCTCTCTCTCTCTCTCTCTCTCTCTCTCTCTCTCTGTGTGTGTGTGTGTGTGGTAGCAGGCAACTTTAATAACAAAGTCATCCGGATAAGCCATGTCATGTGTATACTCGCTATTGCTACTTCTTACAGTAATCAAACTCATGATGCAAAAAGTAGAAGTGTACAAAGAATGCGAAGGAATGATCATGAATAGTAGAGGTTTACCCCAAAGTATGCCAAGGGGAGACTGCTGGCCTATAGGTCTAGCCAGTATGTGGAAGGTCCAATCTCAGTTATCCAAAATGCACCCACCCACCCTGGAACAAGGGTGAATCTCATCATCAATTCTGAAAGCAGAGGAGAGCGGAGACCTGCCGTTTTGGAACCTATTTTGGTTCATGGTTGTTCTAACTTTAGCCTCACACTGATTCCTAGAGAATTTTTCCTCTAAGGCATGTTGATCTGCCTCAACATGTTGGCAGAATTAAAAGGAAGAAAGGGAAAAAAAACAACCAGTGGGCAGTGGGGAGGTAACATATTGTAGCCCTTCAAAAACTAGCAGATTTATTTCAGTGTGAGCTTCTGTGAATGGCCCTTCAAAAACTAGCAGGTTTATTTCAGTGTGAATAATAGTCCACGTTGTTCAGACATTAGGCTGAGCACATATAAGCAAAGCTGCTTTTAGTCCACGTTCTTCAGACATAAGGCTGAGCACATATAAGCAAAGCTGCTTTCAGCCTAGGACAGCGATGGCAAACCTATGGCACATGTGCCACAGCTGGCACGCGGAGTCCTTTCAGTTGGCATGCGAGCCATAAGTCGCCGTATCACTACTCCCCCCTTCCCCCCCCCGTGCAGCCAAAGCTGATAAGGTAGCTGCAGCCACGGTGCTGGCGCTTCGGTAGGGGGATCTGGAGCGGCTGGTGCTGGCAGCGGGTCCAGAGTGGGGTCTCAAGGCACCTCCGTGCCGGGATTTCCCCCTTCTGCCGTTGCCACTTCCGGTTCCGCGGTGGCACATCGCCTGCTATTGTGTGTTTTTTCCCCCCAGTTTGGGCACGCGAGCCCAAAAAGGTTAGCCATCACTGGCCTAGGATAAGCAAAAGGTTTTGATGTTCTGTAACCAGGTAGGCTGTAAAACACGTCCCAGACAGCAGGTCTTCACACTTTTTAGACTCACAGTCTATTTTCAATCCTATCTTGAAATATGGGACCCACTTTTTAAAAAAAAATCTATAGATTGACCTTTGTCCCTCTAGGGAAGAAGTGGGCAGCTGATCGCCTTTCAAACCTTGCTGGATTCTCAGCTTCCAGCAGCTCAATCTACATGGCCAGTGATTGAGGATAATGGAATTAGTGTGCAACAACACCTACAGTTTACCCACCCTGACTTTAGGATGATGAGATGCAAACGAAGATGAAGGCCTTGGGAGAGAACAACATTTTGACACTGCTTAATAAATCTATTGTCCATCTTCTACACCACTACCCAAGAGTTCTGTTTTCTGCCCTTGAATTCTCTTTCCCCTTTTGTTCCTACACACATAAAACAGTAATTTTTTAAAAAAATCCCCAGACCTTTGCCTTCACTCTCTCTCCCTCTTTTACTTAATTTACATGCCATCTCTCTCCCAGTTCTGGAACACAAATAGACTGGCAAGATCATTTAAAAATAGATAGACTAAAATCACAATAAATTATTACAATACTAATAGAGGATTAAGTTGATGATCGTAGTAAAACAGCAGCTAGAGTAAAAACCATTTTTACAAAAACAACAACACCCCCCGTCCCAATAGAAAAATCATTGCCCCCCCAAGAGAAAAACCATTCAGAAGAGTGAGCCAAGACAGGAGGTGCCACAAGCTGCGCAAAAGCCACAGAGGCTCACTCGCTCACAGCCTCAGCGGACATGCTTCTGAGGGCAAGCAGGGCTGAGAAGGTCTGGCCCCCACCGTTATCAAAGCCCAGAGAAGCTTGTATGGGAGAATATTATCTTTCAGTCCATCTGGTCCCAAATGGTATATACAGCTTTATAGTTCACAACCATCACTTTCAATGGTGCCCAACAACAGACCAATCGCTAGTGAAGCTGTCGCAATGAGGGAATCACATGTTCCTCTGCAATCCAAACCGGATTTGCTTTGGGGCTGCTGGAGTTTCTGTAGGGCGCGTTACAGTAGTCACAGTGGTATGCATGGCCATGGCCAGATCAGACGTGCTCAAAAACCGATGTAGCTGGTCGGTCGACTAGCTTTAATTAGGCGAGCATGCTCATGATGCCCTGAGTTTTCAGGGAGAGGGTAACCTCATACATGACAGGTTGAATGCCTGTTGGTTTGTTTTACTAAGCAGGAGTATTGAATTAAGTTTCAGCTTTATTTATGTACTTTTATCTGTTACTGATACGAGGTGCCCTGTCATTGCTGAAAACGTTTCTTTGAAATTAGAAAGGAGAGAGACACTCGGGTGTTAATCAGTGGTGGCAGAAAAAGGATTGCAAAAGTGTGGAAAGTTTCTAAGAGTGGTTTTATATAAATGTTAAATAAGAGCAGGTCCCTCAGGAACCTCATCGGACTGTGCAGCTACCGTGTTCAGCAGGAATCTCCCAGTACCATCTTCTGAATTTGTTCCCTCAGGAAGGAAGGAAATCATTGTGGAACAGTATCTCTAGGTCCCACGTCAGGGAGACATGTCAAAAAAAGTACCATGGTGGGTGGTAATGAAAACCACCAGGAAGTTCAGCACTCCCCGCATGCAGTTGCTGATGCAGAGTGTCCACCAAGGCGATAGAACCAGGTCTAAAGTTGTAGTGAAATGGATCTTTTTTTGTGTTATATGACAAAATTAACAAAAATTAATCATTTGGTTCAGTTAGCATCATCTTCAGATCTTAGGGGTATTTTACTGGGCTTCTCACACATGAATGCTTTTGAGCTTTTAGCCAGATTGTTAGGATAGGAATGGAAGGACAAAGGGGACTATGATAAATATTTAGGACAGCTCCATGTAGGCATCCTTCAGTCTTGAGAGACTATGGTAACATGCTCTGAATAGAGGTCTTAGAACAGTGTCTTATGTGGCTGAGAAAGCCAATTTGAGAGTGACAATCCCTTCCACACTGAAGACAAATATAATCTGTCCCCTGTCCAGCTCCCTGATTTTGCTGATTTTGGGACTGCCTCTTTGCCTCAGCCTGCTGGACAAGTGTCTCTTCAAATTGGGAGAGGTCATGATGCACCGCCTGCCTCCAGGCTGAACGTTCAGACGTCAAGGTTTCCCATCTGTTGAGGTCCATTCCTAAGGCCTTCAGATCCCGCTTGCAGATATCCTTGTATCACAGCTGTGGTCTCCTTCTGGGGTGCTTTCCCTGCACTAATTCTCCATACAGATCTTTTGGAATCCGACCGTCAGCCATTCTCACGACATGCCCAAGCCAACATAGACGTCGCTGTTTCAGTAATGTATACATGCTAAAAATTCCAGTTCGTTCTAGGACTACACTATTTGGAACTTTGTCCTGCCAGGTGATGCCAAAAATGCATCGGAGACAATGCATATGTAACGTGTTCAGCTTCCTCTCCTGCCATGCACAAAGGGTCCAGGCCTCATTGCAGTACAGGAGTGTGCTCAGGACACAAGCTCTATAGACATGGATCTTAGTATATGCCATCTCTCATTAAGCCATACTCTCTTTGTGAGTCTAGAGAACTCACTGGTAGCTGCTTTGCCAATGGGTTTATCCAGCTTGACATCTATAGAGAGAGTGTCAGAGATCGTTGAGCCAAGGTACACGAAATCAACTACCAACTTCCAATTCTTGTGTGGAGATGGTAATAGAGAGAGGTGAGTCCATGCCCTGGCCCATGACATGTGT